ATGGTAACTCTTCGCTACGGTATCTAGACTTTATGAATTTAAGCGCAGTAATAGATTGGCAGAAAGGTCTCATTATTTCCCAGTTGAAATGTCTTGTCGCTTGCGGAACTCTCTTCCGGTGTCTTGCTTCTCAGAGAACTTCGATCTTCAAAAATTCAAATGCAATGTCAATCGTTATCTTGTCTATTCTTTGTTCTTTGTTCCTTTCTTTGTCTCTCTTCTTAATAGTGCTTTTTTTTTCATATTCTAAATTTCTCTACACTCAGTAAACCCAGCTGGGGCTCTACATAACGACAAAACAGAATTAAATTAGTTTGGTATTTTTTTTTTTTTAGATTAGGTTATTATATTCAACTGATGATCATTCAAGATTTTCTTTCCCGATCAGTGTAAATAAAATTTCGATTTCAATTTTTGAGTGAAATCGAAATGTCTTGAGAATTCATTCCGAATTTTTCATCTCGAAGCCCCTTGGATTGAAAAAAATTAATATCTCTAATAAGAATTAATCTTTCTTGCTTCATGTCAATATCCGTTCATTTATAGACCTGTTATCGAAGATTACTGCCTGAATTTATGCAATAATATTGATAATAATAATAATTGTTATACTCGTGTAATCTGTTTGCATTGTTTGTTTTTTGTTATTTTTTGTTATTTTTTTATTTTATTTTTTTTTTTGCAAGCATTACTTTACCACAGAAGTAGACCAGATGTATTGAAACAATGGCGACAGATTAATATGTTGTTACACAGGGATAATTTTTAGCATTACTAATAAATTACCTATATCTGTACAATACACATCTTCCTGTCTACATTATTCATCTATATTTATTTATATTTGGGGACGTGAGAAACAAGAAGAAATAAATCGATGGAGAAATATACTTTCGTAGAAGGATTTCATGCCAGAACGGTCGCAAGGCAAAAAAATCCAGAATAATAAATAACTGGGTAGATATAACCGTAAGTTCTGTGCTAACAGTTTCTTCTGTCGCACTTCTAGATTGTGGAACTCTCTTCCTAGTTAACTAAAAAACGTTAAGTTAAAAAATGAAATGTAATACATATCATTATATTCTTCTTAATTCTTGTGCTTATATTGTTCACCCTCTTATAGTATGTTTCCTTTCTCATATTCTCTAAAACCTTCGTCGAAGTAGCAGCATTGCCTTGCTCAGCGGTAAAAGTGTTAATTTTTTTTCGATTTTTTGCCTACAGAGATTGCTAGACAAGGAGAAAACATATTCACTATACAATAGACCACTTGCCTGTGAGACTATCTTTGGTCGAATAATGGTAATATCAAGGGTAATATTAGCCGTTTCCTTATAAGGAAACATTCGGTATTCATTGACCGAGCGGCTAGTACTGCTTTCGGTTGTAATTTATAATATCATTCTCTTTTGGCAGGAAAAAATTGTCAAAAAATAAAACAGGTTTCAATAGCTCTTATTGCCCTTTCCAGTATTGACTGAATTTTCCTTTCTAAGCTTTTATTTGAATTTGTTTGTAACATCTTGGTGTATGGTTATTTCTTTTAGTTGTTACTGTTGGTGAAAGTCATCAAGTGATGTGGTTTCTGTTATTTGGTACAGATCTTTAATTGTGATTACGTAGCTCCAGTTCACAAGGCTCGAAGAAGAATGGTTTCACTTAGATCAACACGATTCATCTGTTCATTCAAATCCTTGAACGTTGATCTTAGATTATTATATATATATATATATATATATATATATATATATATATATATATATATATATATAACACAAAATCTCTATATATTTCTGAATGGATTTGGTTATTTGGTTTTGTTGATTTTGTTAAACGGCATATCAACACTTCTAAGTTATTTAATGCCAAAAAATAAATATTTTCAGCACAATGTTATGGCTTCTACTAAATATATACTATAAATGGTTATTGTGGGTAACTGTTTTAAATATATATATAAATATATTGCTGGTAATTTTACTATAAAATATATATTTTTATACATTCATAGCGTTTTGTTTTTGTTTGTGGGGTTACTATTTGTCAATAGCTGGGATCCTAACAGGCGCTTCAACGTCGGGGTACGGTGTATCTGGAAACAGATTTATTAACAGGTGGTTTCAGGTTCCTCAAAACCTATAATCGCCCGAATTTGAGACCTTGTTGTCGGATGTAGTTTATCGTCGTAACCAGGACTACGAAATTAGTTGGGCGCCATGCATTACATCAGTATGAAATTCATGATCTGATGAATCTATTTAAGAACCTAACTGGATTTTACAGTTTCGGTTTTATAGCAATGTTATATCTGATCTATACACCGAATTATTTAAGTATTTACTAATTCCACATCCTGATTGCTATGATTGATTCAGTGTAAACGCCATCACAGCTTTCTTTCCAATTTGGTACAATAGTTTCTGTTTTGGAAAGATTTATTTTGAGTCCTGTTTATTGGAACATTTGGAAGAGGTTGATGATTTTCCGTTTAAGATCATTCTTATCCCGACTATAAATAACTATAATATCAGCAAAGTCCTCCAACTCATCATCAGTTCTCTGGAGGAAAAACAGGATTGTTGTCTTCTATTGGTAGACATGTTTTGGGTGAAGTATGGAATGTTTAAATGGTCAGTGTCCTTCTCTTAATATCTGTGTTTTAAATGCAAACGACGTCGTCTAGAAAAATATTAAATAAACTTGTTTCCTTGTCGTACTCGTGATGGGGTTTGAAAAGTTTTGGTATTGGGGTTCTCTCCAGCCATATAAAATTTTGTGGACCAATAATGTTCTTCATTTATATCGGTGCAATCAGAGGATTCGAAGCTTGGAATGGATGATAAGTGGAATTCATTATTGAATACGCCATAGGCTGTTGTAAGGTGAAAGTATCAGGTAAATAATTTCATAATATAAACGGTGGCGTATAAATACTGGTACAGAAGATAAAGGTCATAAATTCTGAAAAATGAATTATATCAGCATAAAAATTTAATACTAAGTAAGTATTAATCGGCTACATAAGAAAATCTCGTTCAATAATTGTTATGGTCCGGTTTCTTGTACCACGGTGATAGTCCAAGGTAGAACCAATAAAGAAGAACTCGAATACGGATATGGAATAACACAGATATATTACAAACAAGAATATATACAGAGAAGTAGAAAGTGTTAGTACGAACAATCAGGTTTAGTAGTAATTGTCTGAACGCGACTCTGTTTCGGACTGCCTCTGACTCGACTTGCTCGCTCTGACTGACAGACTCCTGACAGACTTCACTCCAGACTTCAGACTGAACAGTATTTAGTCACCCCACACGAGGGTATCATGTGACACAAGGCCGATTTAACGTGGGATCTCCGAGCCCGTGGGATCTCGAGCCCGTGGGATCCCGTGGGATCTCGAGCCCGTGGGCTCGGCCAAAAATATGCCCTTTGAATCCGTATAAACGGGTTCAGGGTCGGTTTACCTCCCCGAAAAAGACTCCGCCCTTCGGCGTAGCCCCGTTCGGGTCCCTCCCCGCCCGAAGGCTGAGAGTTCAACCGATCAGCCGGTCGCCCGACTTCGGATTGAACTCCCTGCTTCCTCTTGAGGCGCAGTATTTATTACGTATGGAATAGTCTATTATGTTATTATGGTTAAGGTCCCATAACAATAATGGTGTCATTTAGAATTCAGCATACGTCGATGTTTTTTTTTCCTGAGAGTCAGTGATGGCAACAGGTACAGTTTCCATGGGTATTTTTCCCATAATCTCATTATCAATATAGACATTATTGCCAGTAAATACTGGAACACTTTGAAAAAAATAAATTGTATACGCTGCACGACAATGTAATGACGAAAATTTTACAATATAATTTTGTAATTATGGCGCACCCTCTAGAAACTTTTAAGAGCAGCACATCAACGGCAAGAATCTATCTTTGTTGTGTGTTAAAACTCAATGCACGATTCCTAGAAGAAATAGAATATGTGCCTGGAGATATCCATTCAAATCACAGGCTGACTCAGTTGAATACGTACCTATCGATATCCCAAATGACTATAACATAAACAAGTCATAATATTGGCTTACGTATAATTCTCGAACGATCTTTGTTCTCTATTGGGCAGCTTAGATTGCGTCGCTGCTTCAGTCCGTACAGCTGTCTTCAAGCAAGTATACCAAAGTCGGATTCGCACTGCTGAAAGTAAATTCAGCTGTCTTTTCTCCAGGAGAATTTTTTCTTGTAATATGTAGCTTACCACATATAGTCGGTATTGTCTACTATTATTGTCCCCCGCAGGAAAATGTTGCCGACTACATGTAAGTGACAGAGAGTGTATTGTAAACGCCGGAAATTCTAACTGATGTCTCGATTTCTTGCTAGTTGCTGATTTGAATGCGCCATCAGCTTCTACTTTTCTTTTTCATTTCTGCAGGATGTTTTGCCGTCATCTGGGCATAAAAATTATATCGTATGTTAGAAATACGGTATATTTCGAACAAATTATGTGACTCTCACATGCCACTCAACAAATTGGTAGAGAAGAAAACGTTGGCAGAATTCATACTGGAGAAGCCAAACTTCACGCCTACACTAGAGAGCTTGACAAGAGAAATCCCAACATTGTATCCGTATGGAGACGCTTCATCCTTCCTTGTGTAGCACCCAGTAGATTCAAAAGGTACCGTGTAGAACAGATAAGTAGCAGTGGAACTGGAGAGGGAAGATTTCGGAAACTGCGTCTTCGAAGTTATGGCGTACGGCAGCGAGACTTGGACAGTTGTTACAGAATGCGTTAGCTAAGCCAGGATGGCAAACTTCTGGTCAGAAGATCCTATAGGCTTGAGACAGTGACAGTTATGCATTGCCTCTGTTTGATGTTTTGATATAGCACCCAAGAGGTTCTGATTATCCGGAGACGCTTGTGAGAAATTGAAGGTTCAACATACCTAAAAAAAATAGTCATTTCGTAGTGAGTCAAACCAGCATATGGCGATAAAATTCGGATTATGGTGTTGTTTCTCTTACTCTCTCTCTCTCTTTCTCTATCTCTCTCTCTCTCTCTCTCTCACTGTGTGTGTGTGTTGTGTGTGGTCCCACCTCGAATCCGAATAAAAAAAAGATTCAAATATTGTCTTTCGTGAGACAAAGCGGAATAACAGAAAAAAAGGAAAAGTGCCTGTCGTTGATACAATATGTGATGTAGCGTTATGAACTTAAAGATAAAAAATAATAGCAAGTATAGTGACCGCACCGTGAACCAATATTGGAACGCATAAAATCAGACATCACACACCCTGGTAGAAAGTCTAACTAGACAGGACAGCCAATGAGAATCACTGCTATAATTCAGCCCACCTTGCAGACCAGACACCGGTAAGGTTGACTAATTCCCAACAAATCGCCAGAATATTTGTACAATTTCTTGCAATTATCCACAAGGATCATCAGCGAAATATCCATCATTCTCACAAGAGTGGAAATCAGTCTGCTAGGAGGTCTCCACGGAAAACCTCAATATGCATAAAGTTGAAATGAGAACTTGACAATCGATAATTCGTCGCCAAAGAAACAGGTGGGTCGTCAAAATGACAAAAGGAACAGCAGAGAAGTACACTTGAATGCGTAAAACAGGTCAAACAATAACATATATATATACATGGAAAATGTGTATACATATATATATATACACATTATATATATGTATATATATATATATATATATATATATATATATATATATATATATATATATATATATATATATATATATATATATATATATATATATATATATATATATATATATATATATATATATATATATATATATATATATATATATATATATATATATATATATATATATATATATATATATATATATATATATATATATATATATATATATATATATATATATATATATATATATATATATATATATATATATATATATATATATATATATATATATATGTCCTCAAGGATACATGGCACAGTGGATAAACGTGTTGGTTAGATCCAGTGACAGGACCTAAAATAGTTTGAGTTCAATACCCAGTTAAGGCAGTGGAGATCTTTCAGAGTGAAATTAGTAGGTGATAGCTGACATCCATCAAACATGGCACATGGAACTCGAACAGTCTACCTCAGTGAGCGAAATAAAGGGTTCAGTTCGACATTCCAACCACCTGAAGTAGGCCGAAACGTTGTGATAAATCCGGCGACAAAGATGTAAACAATAGTCCGAATAATGTAAACAATATATATATATATATACATATATATATATATATATATATATATATATGAAGAAATATACTCTTAAGGTGTGCTCTATTTATGGGATAAAGTGCACAATATCAGAGATAGAGTGTGTGTAAATATGAAAGTGAACATTGAAGTCAACACTTAGAGGCGACAGTTTGTTTCATGCTAGACATATATATATATGTGTGTGTGTGTATGTTTGCTTGTGTGATTTTACTGCAGAAAAACTAGCGATAAGTCTTTAATACCTTAAAGTTGTTGATAAATCTTTTAACACGAAAGCTATGGCTAGATGTTGGAATTTGGCAGTTTTCCAGATGCTTTTTTCATATCGACAAATATATTTGCTCACTCGTAATATTCACGCCGGCAGTGAAAAAACGATTTGACAATTAAGAAATTTTAGGGAGATGCCGAGAATTCTGGATATTTCAGCTAATGTTCTTAGTGATAAAATATATAAAAAAAAAAATTCCAAACAACGTTTTATCCTAAAGACAGACTCAACACAGACGCAGACTGACATGGAATATTTCAATATAAAGGCACTTAATCGATGACTCGAAGACAAGAATTCAGCTCTACAAACGGTCACTGTCTTTTTGGTTACTTTTAATAGATTACTGAATATGAAAATTTTTGTCTACAGCCATTTACGAGCGAGAAACGATTTCTTAAGACATATAACAGAAATTATGAATTAATGTCTAAAAATATTACGTTTCCCAATAGATGGTAGGAGGTCTGACATTTCTATGCTTGTAAGGCGATTTTCTGTGTACACATTTGATTCAGATAAAAAAAAAAACTTTCCTGGAGTTCAAAATATTTGAACGCACAAACGTATCGCAATATTTTTATTTCACAAAATATTTTACTTGACTATCCATAGTTTTAAATCACAATTAAAGTTGGTTGACCCTCCCTTCTTTAAAAAATAAAACTATCCTCCCTAGATTTGCAAACACGTATCAAAATGAATTAAATTTAAGTTTGTCTTCAAACTTACAAAGACTGATTGATAGTAATAACATACAGTCCTACTAAATAAATTTTATATCAGATACATAAAAAAAAGTTTGTCTCTTCGGTATTACATGTCTGAATACATAAATATAGTCTCCAATCCTCTAAAAAAAAATTTTAGATCAAATAGAATAATGAAACTGGGATTAAAATGAAGAATATTGATTTCTCTTCAAAATGATGTGGATTGATTCATAAATGAGGCCTCCAATCCTTAAAAAAACAATTTTTCCACCAGATCGAATAATGAACATGGTATCAAGATAAAAGGGAATTTATTACTCTTCATATTTACAACTTCGTTCATTTCTCTGTATAATTTTCATTGATGTCTGACTATCAAGCTAGCTAGCTCCGCCTTGTTCATATCTATCTATCTATCTATCTATCTATCTATCTATCTATCTATCTTCATGTTTATCAATCTAGATAGCTCGCTATATCCGACTGATTCATTTCTTTCTTTCTTAGATTCATTTTCTATCTATCTATCTATCTATCTATCTATCTATCTCCACTTTGTTCATGTCTATCAATCTAGGTAGCTCGCTCTCTCCGACTGATTCGTTTCTTTCTTTCTTTCTTTCTTTCTTTCTTTCTTTCTTTCTTTCTATGATTCCTTATCTATCTATCTATTTATCTATGTATCACAGTATATTTATCTGTCCGTTACAACATATTCACATCTATCTATCTATCTATCTATCTATCTATCTATCTATCTATCTATCTCCACTTCGTTCATGTCTATCCATCTAGCTAGCTTGCTATCTCTGACTGGTTTCTTTCTTTCTTTCTTTCTTTCTTTCTTTCTTTCTTTGATTCATTATCTATCTATCTATCTATCTATCTATCTATCTATCTATCTATCTATTACAGTATATTTATCTGTCTGTTAAAATATATTCACATCTATCTATCTATCTATCTATCTATCTATCTATCTATCTATCTATCACAGTCATTTTCTATCTATTTATCTATCACAGTCATTTTCTATCTATCTATCTATCTATCTATCTATCTATCTCCACTTCGTTCATGTCTATCAATCTAGCTAGCTTGCTATCTCTGACTGGTTTCTTTCTTTCTTTCTTTCTTTCTTTCTTTCTTTCTTTCTTTCTTTGCTAGCTATCACTATCCTATTCTGATTTACCCATTTATTTTAATTCACTCCCCCTTCACTGTAATGTGAAGAAGATCTACTGGGAGAGAACCCATTACGATACACTCTCTCCATCGATTACCGGGAGCTTCATTATTCGAACATGTGTTTACAGTTTACACGAATGCTGGCTGTTTTGAGTTTCGATAAATGTTACATATTTTGCAAGTCAAAATGGTGATGTGCTCAGCAGTTTTTAACGTTGAACTGATTTTTTTCCTTTAAATTCTTTCTCCCTTCGGGATGTAAGTGAAAACGTATCATCATCCTTCAACCTCCCTATGTTTGGTCGGAACTCCATTGACAATCCCTTTGCACATTGATCGGTCCAACCCTCTGTCCCAAGCTATGGTCACTGAAAAAGTCAATTTTCGTGAGAAGACACTTCTAGAAGGATGCCATAGGGGTAAACCTGAGACGATTTCCCTGTCCGCTCGGTGTCACTAACCGGCAAACTGTAATAGTTTTTGTTTGAACTTAAAAGATATTGATTTCAGTTCTTCTTCAATTGTGTTAAGCGTTACATGGTATCTCCAACTAATATTCTGGATTTTTCTAAGTAGATTTGTATATGTTTCATGCATGTATATGTTCAAAACGAACAGATAACGTACAAGTTTCTGATTCCTACATTAGGGCTGATTCAATCAATGTTCGCCATGTTTTGATGAATGGTTGCAGTGCCAAATCTTGTGAAGTTTGTTACATGCATCCAATGCAAGAGCTTTGCGGATGTTGAAGTCATTTTGGAAATGTAGAGATCCAAGATATTTGAAGTTCTCAATTCTTTTGATGGATTGATTATTGAGTGACTTCAACTCGGATGATTCCAGGAAGGTTGTAATATATTCTGTCTTACTGACGTTGCAAGAGAGACTGAACTGTTTCGCTGTAGCAAGGATTATGCATCCTTGATATATTTAGAAATTAATGCAAGAATATTAACGGTCATACAGATCTCTCGATACAAACGCCTCGTCTGCCTTAGTGTTTACCGAAAAATCTCGCGGTTAATTCGTTTTTGTATTGATGTTTTCAATAATAATGGACATTCTCGGAAGCATATTTCCCCAGCCGCTGAAGGGGACCATACTGGAACCATGAAACTCGAGGATGTAACGCATCAACAGGCGGAGAGTGGTATCGAAATTGCCACGTCGGTGGATTTTAATCTATCATTATTCAAGAAATCGATGAATTTTAACTAAAATAAACAATAAAAGTTAACGAGTGCATATTAACTTTCGAGGCACCGTGGAGTAATTGATAGCATGCCGGGTTGAAGGATCGGTGATCCCAGTTCACCTTCGTCCGCTGCTGTCTCGTCTCGTCTGCGTCTCTTGACGTCTCACGCTCCAACTGTTGGGTCGCTTAACCGCTCTCTTTATATGTATTTCACCCGACTCTCACCGCACCTCAGTATTCACCAATATTCACAGGAATTAATAATTTCCTCCAAATCTGGAGAAGAGATACTGACCTTCAAACAAAGCAGTCAGTTATTCAAAACAATACATTCTTCGAAAACAACGTTTATCATTCTTTTCTATATCATAACGGCAGTCGGCCTGAGATCTGTTACTTATTCCAAACAATAATTTTTCCGATTACAAACTTTGAGTTTATAATTTATTTCTATGTCCTTGACGTCAAGGAATTTCTTTTGTTGTCGATTCCAATATGATCCTCTTAATTTTATGTCCATTTTGCATGTTTACAAAACGACACACCACATTGTTTACATTACCGGATTGGCGAATTCTAACAATTCCATTTGTCTTTAGGCTTACATTTTACATTCCTATTCCATTCTACGTTCCTGGTTATCAGAAAGAAAAAAAAAGTCTCTTGTTTTTCTTGCTTCATAATCCAATTCATGTTTTCATCTTAATGTTTTTCACTCTTCCAATTCTCCAATTCGTATACAGTTTTTTCGAATGAATCTTTTAAATATTATTTTCATACTACTAGTGTTACAACAATGACACTATATAAAAATGTGGTGTATTTATTTTATTTTGTTTTATTTGACATAATTTACACTAAATTGATGCCTTGCATATATCTTGGCGTTTCAAATTAGGTAGCCTCGGATAGAGTGTTGGAAGCTGCTCCAGGAAGGAAATATGTTTGTAAGCAAAGAGAAGAGCCAGACATACAATTTCCATATTGCAGATACCAAAAAATTATTTATCTAGGGAATGTGTTAAGAAAAAAAAAAGAAAATATAAGAACAAAATCCGAAGGCGAATTGGGACAACGAATGGTGCCATCGAAAACTTAAAACCTATTTCTCCTTCATCCGCGTCTTCATCCATAACTTTCAATTGTCAACGATTTTAAGGAAGCCACCATTAAGAAACAGGGAAAAATCGTTAAAAACGACGTTAAATGCTCTGGAATATTATGTAATATCAGACTTTCTTCACAGGCGAATAATATACTTGAGGTAGCAGACATGTGGTCCTACAGAAGGATGATGATGGGCAATGACGAGTTTTGAGAGAAAATGAAAACAAAAAGGTCACTTAGACTTAACATAAAAAAGACATTTCTAGGACACATAATGAGAAAAGAGGGCTTGGAAAATATGACACTCGTTAGATATATTAAAGGGAAGATAGATAGAGGAAAACAGTGCATTACTTACCTAATGAATTTGTGTAAATAGATAAAACAGGGTTTAGGAGAGATAGCGAAAATACAAAATTTATTAAGGGCAACACAGAACAGGAAGTGATAGGTTATATAAATGATCAACTGGACAATGTGAGCTCTATTCAATAAAAAAATACCCGAAAGTGTTGGATCCATCTATCCTGAGTGTTTTCATCCACATTAGCAACATGTCATAAGTCGTACTGTTATCAAATGGTGCCCAACAGCAATTCTGTCCCTTAAAATCCTGTAGCAGAATTTCGCTAGACGTTCTTCCTCCCAGGATTGAACTCACACATACAAACATTATCTTATTTCAATTATTCACCGTCGAAATAATATCTGATTTTTTGTGGTTTCAGTTACTCTGCTCTCTTGCCTTCTTCATGTAATGGTCGACCCTCGATTTAATTTATGGGTGTAGACTGTTCTTGAGTTATCTATTGCATAGTTATATGTTTTGTCGATAATTTGTGCTTTCGTATTTATTAAACATTTCTAATAGATTCAACCAAGGGGTGGGATTTGAAAAGTTTATAATCTTGTCTATGATTTTAAATGAATTTATTTTAATCTTGCTGCTAATAATTAAACTAAAAACATATAGTAATATTTATAGAAATATTCTCAATAATTAAAAAAATAGGCAAACGTACTAATTATTAAGGGACAGATGTAGAGATATTTATATTGGCCTGTAATAAAAAGAAATCAAAGTAATGTACCAAATTTTATGGGACAGACGTATTAATATTTATCAATAAGTGTTCTCAAAAATCATAAGAAAACTAGGCAAATGTACCAAATTTCATGGAACAGACTTATTAATATTTAAAGTGTTGTCAATAATATCAAGAAAACTAGGTGAATGTACCAAATTTTATGGGACAGATGTATCAATATTTATCAATATTTGTTGTCAATAATCATAAGAAAACTAGGCAAATGTACCAAATTTTATGGAATAGACGTATTAATATTTATCAATAAGTGTTATCAATAGTCATAACAAAACGAGGCAAATGTACCAAATTTCATGGAACCGACTTATTAATATTTAAAGTCTTGTCAATAATCATCAGAAAAATAGGTGAATGTACCAAATTTTATGGGACAGACGTATTAATATTTAAAGTGTTGTCAATAATCATAAGAAAATTAGGCAAATGTACCAAATTTTATGGAATAGGCATATTAATATTTATCAATAAGTGCTATCAATAATCATAAAAAAAAACTAGGCAAATATACCAAATTTTATGGGATAGACGTATTAATATTTATTAGTAAGTTTTGGCAATAATGAAATTAAAATAGGAAAATGTGACAACTGAGACTTGACAGTGGTTGTTCCAAAGTTAATAAAAAAAATCGGTTTGTTTAATATTTGCGTTTAAAATCTGAGAACGCATTTGTAAAATTCATTTGAAATTCAAAAACTAAAAGAAAATGCTTGAACATTTTAGCAATATTGCTTTTGAATATGTTTTCTTTGTAAATATTTATAAATTGTTGTTATTTTAAAATTATTACACGGATTAAAATATGGAAGTTTCTTTTTCCTCTCTTGATTTTTTCCTTTCTTTTACTTTATTCTTCGTTTATTTCGAACTGCAACTAAATCGTTCTTTCTCCTTAATAAGCAATCTGCATGCAGCACATTCAATTGTCAACGGTTTGAATGACATCACCATTAAATCTATATAACGTGAATCATTTGTGACTTATACAACTTTTAACATGAAAAAATGAGGATACAAAAATAAAAAAAGCACATTTAAAATTATATTCAAATCTCAAAGGAAGGACTTCTTGAGAAATTACTTTTGACAAGTGAAAATTGCAGTTCTGAATCTATGAGAATCCGATTTTTCCATCGCTGGCTTTTCAAAATATACAACAATTTTAAAATGTGCACAAGTAATTGCCTTCAAGGGTTTACAGATTTTTAAGGTAATATGTCTATAAGAACAGAATTAAGTACGTGTGAATATTTTTTTTTTGAATGAATAAATGCTTTCCTGGTGTGTTCACAAACATTAGGAAGAAATAAGGAAATTTCCATAGTCGATTGAAATACGTTTTAGAAATCTAATATATAAATCTCTAAGTTTGTCTGTCCGTTTTAAATCCTCAAAATTAACACTGAAATCAAATAAATGCAGTTTTATTACGATTTAACGCGTGACCACACTGGTTAAAACATTTGCTTTCTGGCCATGAGTCTCGGGTTC